ACAAGTCCATCCCGTTAATCAGAATCGCCGACCAAGCCAGCCCCCCAGACCGGTTTTTACAATCAAATTTCCTGTCCTTAATATGAATTCAGCTAATATCAGACAGCATACGCCCATGCAAACGGAAATTTACACTTACACACCAACATTATCATCGCATCCATTTCGCTTATGTCTATTCGTATTACGCTTAATAATATGAGGTTAACACTTTTATGGCGATTTCATGATTAACTACTCTCTACATGAAACTCGCGATATTCTGAATATTTAGCAAAGCAGTAAATTCAGCTTGGTCAATCCGTTTGTCTAATGCCGTGAAAAATTAAATGTCTGAACGACTACATACACTCGATCAGCCGTTCAGACATGAAAATTTTATAGACGCGTTATGAAACGACCCGGTAAACGCGACACATACTGATATCGAACACAGTTTGCCCAGATCAGCGAGTCTGCCACATTCAACCAGCATCATCACAGGATAGCCTGCAAATCTAGTCTACCTGAATACTGCCCGCCTATTGCACCACTAGCATGCAATCATATGCTTCTATAAAGATTGATTGTTTTAGGTTGCACTCCCACAGTGCTCAAATCATAGCGTAGTGTACCAATATTTTGTTAATAGTGACTTCAGTGTTTCAGTTTTGATACAGGTCACAACTATTACATGACGGCAAAAAAAATTATCAGGGTTTCGACTTAATTGTTGCAACAGGAGTGTACAATAATATGCTAGAACCCATGAACATGTGTTGTTGTGCAAACGGAAATTTACACTTTCACACAACCAATATCATCGCATCCCACTAACCCACTTATTTTTCTTACCTCCCGTTATTTGTATTAAATAACATGCCTAAATATAATTCTGCTGCGCTGGCATTTTCTTTTCAGCCACCAAGGTAAATATAGTCTAAATGCATTAATAAACCCCCGTTGCCGTAGCTAAGCCAGCACAATTCTGAATATTGATCTCATACATGTAAATCACATGACATTGCTATTGTTCTTGTTACGAATTATATAATAATACATTGCGAAACATGCATCCTGCTGATTATCTCCACTTGCAGCGTAATTCGTCTCACTAAATGCAGTGCCACTAAGTCGTATACCTAACAACTAATATTTGATAATACCAGCTGGTTCAGCTGTGATCTTTACCTTTATGACATGTCCAATTGGCAGTGGCGTAGCCATGCAGCCCGACAATTTAGTCATGCTTTGCTAATATATTTAGGTGCTCATTTACTGTAAAAAGAATGAATTTCTAAAGAAATGAATGATGATAATAACATAAAATTTGCATAGTCAGGCTGGCTACGCCACTGCCAACTGGCCGTTTCAATTATTTTTCAATCCGATCTGTTCCGGTATATGTCTTAAAACTGTATATTAATTGTGTGTGTTTTTGATTAAGAAAACAATCCATCCTAACTGTATACAAACAATTTCCTTTAGCTTCAAATATTATCTAAAAACAACAGTATACTGTATGCATTAGCTACAATATCTCCTAAAAGAATCACAATAGCTATTATACAGTGATAATTATCATGACATGCACCACAATGCACAGCTTTTCCTCTCATTTTAGACAAAAGAACGATGTTTTAGTGATGCAATTTTAGTGATGCAAATGATGAGGATATGTCGCAGTGCTCGGAAGCTTTCGTCCAATTGGATAATGCTTTTCTATGCTTTCTAAAGAACGAAGCTATGCTATTGGTTGAAACAGACTTAGTAATCTGGTCTGGACCTGCGACACTACCTAAATGATGCAATCTAACGGCTGTTTGATGACATAAAATAAGATCAATGTTTACCAGTTACGACGCCTTCAAATGATGCAATTCTACGGCTGTTTGATGACATAAAATAAGCGTGAATCAATGTTTACAGACGCGTGCGATTGCACGCTAGTGGCGCCATCAGGGGACAATTAAAAGCAGTATATTTCACTAAGCGCTACACAAATACGGAATAACGGTACACTATACGCTATGTTTCGAGAACAGTGCATGTGGCCCGGTGCATCCTACGACTCTGTTAGCTCGACGTCGCTATAGTCAAATGTTTTGCTTTAAATAAGCTGTGCATGGAAAAATATGCTGCGATGACTTACAAACGTTTCAATTGTGCTAAGAGCCTCCGACATTTAGCTGATATTGCATTTTCATACAACCTGTGAGTGTTCGCGTGTACACTCTCATAAAAAAGTGCCAAAACATCGTAATCGTTTACTATTAATTAATGCCTTAACGCCTGAGAGTGTATGCAGTCATTCAGGCATTAAACTGTCTGTAGCAAGCGACAAACAGATCATGTAAAGCTTAACTTATTGCTACTACTGCAGTGGCTTTTGCTTTCTTACATCAATGCGGAATTTAACGAGCTTTATATCGATGTGGCGAAATTGCTGCACACTTTACGACAGTGTGATTCAAACACAAAGTTCACTGGCAGTTTGGCGTTTGGCTTCAATCATAAGGTCTCATAACTCTCATTTAACCGTTTGGCTCCAATCATAAAGGTCGCATGCATTTAAGGTTATACATTTAGCCGGAGTGATGTAGACCGGTGCGATTTGCGCATCTCCTAATCGGTTGCCCAGACTGAATGTTCTGCACAACATAATTTGATTACAGCCAGCAGGAGTTGTCAACGACATGATTGTAATCTATCGTACGTAAACATCACTTACCTGCACTTTCAACAGTTGCAAAATGGGCAAAGAGAACAAGAGCACAAGCTTTGATCAACGCACTCAGAGACATTTTCCTGCTCTCGTTAAATGTCATATTAAACAGGGAATCAAACGCTACATCGTATTTTGTGAACTGTTCAAATTCCTGCCGGATGTCGACGTCCAAGGGGCGTGTTATTTGATGCAAATTGTTATTGGGTTTGATTGTGACGTATAGGTCAACGTTTGTCTTGCTACGACGCGAAAGTCCGTGAGCTTGCCGGCAGACTGAATTAGTAGACCGCCCCTTTTAATTTCCGGCCCCCTAATTCAGACCCCGTTTACACTAGAACGAAAGTTTCCGGATTCATCACGAAAGCGGAATGTTTTAGTACCGGACTCATGTTGCTGTTTACACACGCAGCAACGAATCCGATAGAAAATGTACTCGGTTTTAAGCCGTATCCGGCAACTTTGAATCCGTAAAAGTTTGTGGAAACTCCTATCCAGAAACATTTGAATCCGGAAAATTTTCTTGTGTAAACGCTTTGCACGACGAATCCGAAGAAATTCAAACGTGACGACCAAACAATTCTCCAATAACATATATTGTGAGTGTAAACGGACAAATCCGCATACAGAGACAACTAAAGTGTAGTGTAAACACCTGACGAATCCGATACATGAGTGTAAATTACAATGAATCCGGATAATTTTACAAATCCGGAAACTTTCGTTCTAGTGCAAACGGGGTCTCAATCTGTGAGCAGGCTAGCAAATCTGGCTTACCCAATTACTTGCCCAGCGATTACGCCACAACCATGCAGTCACCGGTGTCGATAAAAACACGCGCGTAAAAAACAAAGAAGCACCACATGCGAGACATTAGCTATGCATAATCTGTGGTCCAAAATAGCGTTGCCATTCTTACCATTTACAACGCCTTAAATGATGCAATTAAACCAAGCTAAATATCTTTGTACATGAATAAACCTCCGTAGCCGTAACTAAACTGTTAATCATTTTTTTTTACTTATCATGTAAATCACATTGCTATTATGTTGTTTTCGAACAAAATAAAGTTTAATCAATATATGCTTCTATAAAGATTGATTGTTTGAGGTTGCCCCACAGTGCTCGAATAATAGCGTAGTGTACCAATATTCAGTTATTAACGACTTTAGTGTTTAAATTTTGATACAGCTAGGTTACATGCAACTATTATATTACATGACGAATTACTACAATGCCAAAAAATTTTCAGGGTTTCGACTTGTCGCAACAGGAGTGAACAAAAATGTGCTAGAACCCATGAAAATGTTTTTAACAATGCTGTTGCCTGTTGAACCTTCTCGAACCATCAATGTTGCTGCATTCATGATTAATATTGTTTATTACTTGTGGGCCATTCACACAGACCCCCAGACGGGTTTTTACACTCAATTCTTGTCTCTATTATGATTCGGCTAATATCAAACTGTGTGTAAATGCAAACGGAAATTTACACTTGCGCACCATCGTGCAATATCATCGCCTTCCACTTACTTTTCTTACCTCCCGCCATTTTGTATTGAATAACATGTCTATATATGATTCTGCTCCGCTGGCATTTTCTTTTCTGTAAACCAAGTTAAATATAGTCTAAATGAATTAATAAACCTCCGAGTGGCGTAACGGACAAAAACGGACAAAGATGGCGCTCTTTGGTATATTTGTACTTTCGATTTCCGGACATTTTGCTTTAAATACAAAATTTAGGACGCGTAGAACTTCATGCAAGAATTACTAAGAATAACTTAGTTATGTTCGTTATAGAGGTAATAGAACATGGATAATAGAATAGAAAATTCAGCCACCATGGTCGATGGATACTCCATTATTTCATCTAACATCATTAATAACGTGTTCCAAAGAATTTTGAACATTTCCAAACTTGTAATTTTCCGCATATATTAGCGAAATTAACAAAATTCTGCGGATTTTTAATTTTTTTTTTTAAAAATAGCTTTTTTTGCGGACACAACTCCACTGTCCGCATAAAAAGGATTTTTGTTTTAGAGGTATAAGGATTCCACTGTCCGTCGGTTTCAAACAGATAGGCGGGATGTCCGAATTTCGGAAACCCCTATATCTCAATTTGAGAGACATATAGGGGTGTCCGAATTTCGGAAACTCTATATATCTCAATGTGAGAGACATATAAGGGTGTCCGAATTTCGGAAACCCCTGTCTCTCAATATAAGAGACATATAAGGGTGTCCGAATTTCGGAAACCCCTATATCTCAATGTGAGAGACATATAGGGGTGTCCGAATTTCGGAAACCCTTATATCTCAATGTGAGAGACATATTGGGGTGTCCGAATTTCGGAAACCCTTATATCTCAATGCGAGAGACATATAGGGGTGTCCGAGTTACGCAGTGCATTGTATCTACAATTATTCGGGTTATATTCTCTACGCAAGTCGAATGGGCAATGGTCAAGTGAAACCAATTTAGAAGTATATTTTGTAAATTGCAAAGGAACATTCTGACAATTTAAAAAGTAAGTTGTCTTAATTAAATTTTCGTTATTGTATGTTTTCGCACGTAGAGCCGGGAATACCCAGCACACAATGAAGATATATAATATATATATAGATTTATAGGTTCTAAAGTTCTTTCAACTTTCGCCTGGCCTCTCGTTCCTCCTCTTCTGTTTTTACCAGAATGAGGCAATTGCGTTTGATCGTGACTGCTGCAACACCGCCAGCTGCAAGAAAAAGATTTGACAAAGATGATAATAAATGTTCAATACTGTACCAGGCGGGAAACGTATTATATTATTTACATATATTTAACGTATTATATATACCTTCGGGTAAATTAACATCCAATATCCAGTCACCTGAGTGACTGAACATTTCTACCAGCCGCAAACATGTCTCAAATTCTCTGTTTGCCGAATTGACACAAATGAAGTTTGGGACCTTGCCAAACGTGAAGTTGAAGTGTTCTGGCAGAATTCGCCCAGATACCGAAGCATGCATGAAGACAACAAATGCTTCAACAGTCTCGTTCATGCCTGCTAATATATTCCCTACAGAGTGAAAAAGGACAACGATTAACCATTAGCTACAGTATTCTGCTACATGAATTGCGTACACAGTAACATTTTCTGCATTGTTTGGACAGAAGGAGGCCAGCCGCTCTGCTTGTGTTTGTCAACATAACAGGAAATTGCGAGTGAAATTATACACACTTCAAATTCAAATTAAAGCAAAATAAGTCAACTATAGGTCCCCAGCAGGCTACGCTTTTACGTGCATCGAAACCTCTAAAATTTACGTGCATCAAGTGAAGTGCCAAAAATCACGCTTGATTGTGGATATATACTCCACAAACTGGAACAATCAGGAACACACACCACATGGTTGGCGGTTGCCTAACAAATTACTAACTATCATCTGTTTAAATTTATTTTTACGCCCCTTAATTTACAAAAAACTTTTCAATACTCATGACGTTCCCCTTTTGCCCATAAAAACCTAAATTTGTGTTTTCATGGCATTCACGCATTGCCTGTATGCATATCGCTTAAGCGCAAGGCTATATAAAAGGCATTTATTAATTTATATATAGTACTTTATTGGTATCAAAACAGTCTCGCCGGGACAAGGGTCTTGTATAATAAGGAGAGTGTTTATATACATTGATCACATACATGCAGTGGCGTAGCCAGCCTAAAGATTTTGTCCCGCTATCTAAATTTCAAGTTATTATAATTATTCCTGCCTTTATAAATTCATTGTTTTCACAGTCAATGAACACCAAAATATTAGCATAGCATGACAAATCGTCGAGCTGCCTAGGCTACTGCATACATTCAGCTGCATACTCGTACTTTACTCGTACTACGACACCGACATTGTCATTTTATTCAATCCCTATAAATAATGACATGCCTACTTCGTTTTTTCTCGGGCAAACAGGGATCATATACGAAGCGCCAATGAAACAAAATGAAAACGCAGCGCGAAAATGGAATTTCAGCGGTAACCAAATATAGATAACGACAGTCTCAAGCAATTTGATCACACATATAACTATATATACATGTGCATAGCATGCCTTTAAATAAAGCCTTTATATATGCTATATTTTTCTTCCAGCCTATAGCTTTGCTCTTAAAAAGGAGGGTTTTTTCTTTCTTCCTACTATAAATCCGAGAAGCCTAAAGCTAGCTAATATCAAAAAGGTTTCAAAATATCGAAACTTAATTGCTGCCGCAGCGAGCGAGCCTGAAGCGAGCGAGCAAGGCAGCAGATCCTAATTTAGAAATGGGGGCGCAAATCAAAATTTGTCTTTGGCGCATTGCATGACGGTACCAGTGGCAGGGATGGAGGAACATATTTTATTTTGGGGGTGGCTGAATTTAAGTTCCGGCCATAGTTGACACGCTGAGAGCATATGTTATGTAGCGTGAGAGAGAAATAATTAACATTCACCTGAACACAATGTAGGATATTTCTTTTGTATTTTAGCAGGCGAACAGCAATTTGACGACCTTATTGTTGACGACCTTATTGTTACACGTTTGTGAAATTCTTTCATGTATTTTGGGGAGGGCTACGATTTTTACCTTGCGCGGTGCGGTGCGTGATACTACGTGTATGGTATGTTAATTTATATTGTGAATAAAGGTGAAAACGTGCTTTGGAACATTGTATTAGCGTATTCGGGTGCCAGTAGATTTTCGATATAAACGAAACATAATACTCTTGTCACCTGCGGTGAAAATTTTTGACGCATTGCATGTTGGAGTTGGTGTCAGGTTATACCATTCCACGTGTTGGCTGCATAAACTTTGGCGAATTTATTTCGAAGAAGGAAAACTATTTCGGTGAGTTTTTTGTAATCAAGTTCATATTTATTCAATGTTTTATTCATATTTAACTGTTCTTTTATATTTTATAAGTTGATATTTTAGACAGAAGGTGAAATTTACGTAATTCTACGTTTTGGCTACATATTATAGTACTGCGAAGTATTAGAGGTATAAGGTATTTTGGTGAGTTTTTTACTGTCGAGTTCCTATTTATTCGATATTTTATTTATATTGTTAAACCATATACTTTACTATAGGCTTTTAGCCTTTTATGCCGAATTATGACTTAAATACTAGGATAGTGCATTTATTTGAGCGATCATTGAATATATCATTAAAAATTGCGTCTGTTTTGTTTGTTTAGCGCGCGGTGTTTATTAACTGTTCATTTATATTTTCCAGGTTGATATTTTGGTCCGAAGGCGAGGCTTCAACTATTGTTATATAATCGAGTCTTTGTTCTCAGTTGCATCAGTAATTGAATGCATTGATTTTTGAATTTTTGTCAGTCATCTGTCATCAGTTGCTGACTCTTTTGTTTTGTTGCTGTATTTGCGCCTCGTTTTTGTGTCTTGTTAAGACACTCACTAGATCATCAAAAGTTTATTTCATGTGTGTTTTTGTATCTCATTGGATTCGTCGTATCCGTTACAGCAAAAGATGGTTGACACGGAAGAACTGCACTTAACAGAAACAACATTTTCATAACGTTTTAATAACTATATTGAGCGATTTAAAAACATAATTGACAAATTTAAGTTCTAGCTGTTGGGGGCTCCGTTGCATAAAAAACACTTTATTGATAGGTTTCGTAGAACATTTCTGTTCTGGAACAATATTGTTTTTGTCATTTTCTTTAAATAATGATAATAAGCTGAGGCTAAGCACTTTGTTCTATATTTTATATTTCCAATCTCTTCTTGAACGTAAAAAAAAATTACCGTGGTTATGATTTCTGTTCTTCTAAAAGTTTAATGTTTTCATTGCATGGCTTACTCACAGGCAGCACTCCCTACCCTATGGGTACCCTAGTACATACCTTAATTGAGAGGCTTATTATCCTCATTTTTCACGCCGGCAGCACTGATGATACTCGACGCCTGTCTTTGCTAGCGGCTTTCCAGCAACATATACATACGCCTTTCCTTGCCTTACGCGAACCGACCACTTTTTCATTTGTGGCATATCTATATATATAAACTCCCTCTCAAAACTACTGGCATTGACAATTGAAGCTCAATATGTTGGATGTGGGAAGAGCGCGCGTGCGAAGTATATCATATGAACATTACACCTGGTCAAAGCGGTAAACTCAACCAATAACAAAGAAAAGTTTTTTCCGTTGTCAGAGAGTTAATTAATAGGAATATCCTAATCCAATCAGTGGACTGTAAAATAAAACAGGTTGTCAGACAACAAGGAATCACCTTCGAGCTTCGGCGCAATTTACTGATATATATATATATATATGAACCAATATCACCAGCATTGTCTTTGTTATCTACGAATAAGAAAGGACCAGCGCCAGCCACCAGCAGCTCACCCGGTTTTGATATAAGATTTAGTGACAGTGAAAAATCATCTCCTCTCATGATTCAGAGGAAAAAGTAAGAGCATCATGAATTAATAATGCCATATAATTATACATATACTTTTAATTTTTTTCCCTATCTTATGTATACAGTTTCAAACTCACTTGAAGCTTCTCCTTCATCAATCCCAACTAGTACAGATCTGCCCGAAGAATTTTCCTCACCATTTTCTGTTGGGTTAAGTAGCGACGCAAATAGATCTTTTATGATCCTTTATGATCTTATATGAAACTAAGCTAAATAGAAAGGCATTGGCGATTGCTATATATTTTATCATATTTGGTTTTTGAGTGAAAATTTGGTTTCAGGTTTCAGAGCGATTTCTTAATTTGTGCTCTATTATGTGAAATAAGAATGCAAATTTTTGTTATTTGATTTTAGATCTTTCGTGTAATCGTTTGCCACACGATACGCCGTTAGCATATGTACCAAGTAGGAGCCCAAAAAAAGTCTAGAGAGCTTTACAATACGATTCAACCGATAGCAGTGGTAAGCGATAAATTCTTATGATATTTTGCAAGTGATTTTATTATATAAACACGCGATAATAATACTTCTGTATCCTGAGACACCATTCTGCAAATTTTCATATCCCAAGCCGACTTTGCGTGCGCTCAACAATTGAAATATCTGGTCACTGAGGATTTACAGTTACATTATTCCCGGCGCTTGTTTGTGCGTGAATCAATATGTTAGATTATAATTTTGTTCCCCAAGACCAGAAAGGCGTAAAGATTGTTAAATATAAACCAATGAATTACAGGCTGTAAAAAAACGCAATCACCAATATATTCATGAATATTTAAGTGAATATTAAGCGGATTTTTATGATCTTTGGCACTCGATCAAGTTCTAAAGTTCAAAGGGTCTTTACTTCGGGTGGAATTATACGTTTGAAGACCCTGCCACGCTGCTCCCTGGTTATATTGGCACATAACTTCATACATGCTAGAGTACTCATTTAAATTAATTATTTTAAAGACACACGTGGGGATAAATGGAACACCATACCCATGTAAATGAGAATGGATACTTTCGATTTTAGGATAAGGCGTTTTTCCATTACGGGCGAAGCGCGCTTAGATTTTTAAAGTAAAATAAAACGATCGGGGCTGTATATATCTAAGCACTGCTAATGCATGTCAACTTGCAATTCGATGATGACATGCAGTTTTTCCGCCAATACATACAAAGCTAAAATGTGTCACCAACAACAGCTAACACTATATGATTAAACCCAGAACTGGATACTTTATACATATAAAGGGTGCGGATAAATGCATGTAGTTCAGGGACACCATGATAAACATAAAATCTTTAATTCAAATCAAAATGCCAAAATTCATTAAAATGGCAAAACGGATAATTTATACGCTATCAGTCGCGCCAAACTAAACTTTTAGTAATATTTTAAAACTCTCAAAATATGTCAAAATTTTCAATAGGACTAAGATATTTTCTTTGCGCATATTTCAGTAAAAAATGATTCGGAGGAATTAGCTCGAGACTGGTTTGTGAAGTTTTGAATTCAAGTTGCATTACTGGAAAGGTACATATACCACGATCTGGCAACCCTTCATGGTTACGAGCAAAGATGGTGAAATACCTTGGACAGACACTCTTCTAAAAGATTCAGTCATTCTCTGCTCGTTCGAACTTGACGATAACAGACATCTCCAAGAAAATACCAGAAAATATTTAAAACGGTGGTACCGGGAGGAAGCTAAAAGGGCTAAGGGTCTGGATTAATTTAAAAAACAAAATATTTTCTACGCTTGTACCTATAATTATACAGACGCAAGATGCTAAATTTTTAAGTGCAGAACCATTGGAGAATATTACCCTCAATATCATTATCGCATGCTAACTAAAATGTATGCCAACATTCAAGTGACTCATTTATCTTCAGGAATAATCACTGATATGAATAATAAAAACTCCCTAAGTATGGACTGCATTGTTTTGAGCTTTTATATTAACCCATTAACCCATTGTAGATACAGTGCACTACGTTACTCGGTTACCCCTATATGTCTCTCACGTTGAGATATAGCTAGGGGTTTCCGAAATTCGGACACCCCTATTTGTCTCTCAAATTGAGATATAGGGTTTCCGAAATTCGGACACCCCTATTTGTCTCTCACATTAAGATATAAGGGTTTCCGAAATTCGGACACCCCTATATATCTCTCGCATTGAGATATAGGGTTTCCGAAATTCGGACACCCTTATATGTCTCTCACATTGAGATATAAGGGTTTCCGAAATTCGGACACCCCTATATGTCTCTCACATTGAGATATAAGGGTTTCCGAAATTCGGACACCCCTATTTGTCTCTCAAATTGAGATATAGGGTTTCCGAAATTCGGACACCCCTATTTGTCTCTCACATTAAGATATAAGGGTTTCCGAAATTCGGACACCCCTATATATCTCTCGCATTGAGATATAGGGTTTCCGAAATTCGGACACCCTTATATGTCTCTCACATTGAGATATAAGGGTTTCCGAAATTCGGACACCCCTATATGTCTCTCGCATCGAGATATAGGGGTTTCCGAAATTCGGACACCCTTGTGTATTTGTAAAAATTCTACTGGTAAGTATAGTTTTCGTAAGTACTAATTTTTCCTCAGATTTTCTCGCTTTTTATTGATTTTGGAGCCATAGTTGGTTCACTCCGCTAAGATTTTCGAAAAACAGTAAAAACGAGGGCACAGTTTTCTTAGTCCGCGAGAAATAGGCTTTTTCACCAACGAAATTTTAACATATATCCGCAAGAAAATGACTTTTATAATGAAACTGACAGTGAAGTCCGCTGGATTTAGTAATTTAATGATATTTTTGCGGAAAAAAATCAAAATTCCGCAGAATTTAGCAAAATTTGGCTAATTATGGCGGAATTTTAAAGTTTGGAAAATGACAAATTTCATTGGAAGGCGTTTAATGCTGCATTTTCCTTTGCAATCAACCTCACACCCTGGGCCTATCTTTAGCACAACAATTTTTTTTAACCTGAAATTTTTATGTGATACATTGACACGCCGTTTTTCTCTAAGAATCGTGGCGATGAACGGCAGTCAATGGGGGCCCTCTGGGCCCATAGTTCTAACCTTACCTTACGTCCGTTATTCCACTGAAACCTCCGTTGCCGTAGCTAAACTAGCACAATACTGAATATTTTTCTCATACATGTAAATCACATGACATGGACAAATCACATTAAAATTATTGCTCTCGTAACGAATTATAATAGCTACATCGTGAAACATGCATCCTGCTGACAATGTCGGTTAGTCTTAAGACCAACAACTAAAATTACGGCTCGTGCTTTTTTACGCTTTCCGAAAGTCTCGCAATTTCCGAAGTGCAGTATCACACAATCCTGCACGGAAAACCATTTAGTATTTTCTTTATAAAATAACTACAACGAAACGATGTTCAAATTCCTAGCGCAAAGCGGCATTGTAAGCTTTCCCTGCAAGATTGTCTCGTACTGCACGCCTACGAACCAATCAAATTGCGTGTTTCATTGTAGTTATTATGTAATTGTTGATATCATCTGTGATATACCTATATGTGTCCAACTGCCCATTTCAATTATTTTTCAATCCGATCTTTTCCGGTCTTAAAACTGTATATCAATTATTTTTTAATTAAGAAAACAATCCATCCTAACTGTATACAAACAATTTCTCTTAGCTTCAAATCTTAGGGCGGATTTCCACTTACAGCGAAATCGTTCGCTAGCGAAATATTTGCATATTTTCTTTTGAATTTTAACAGCATAAATAAATTAGTTCGACTTGACTGTTTCGAATTCAAAAGAAAATATGCAAATATTTCGCTAGCGAACGATTTCGCTGTAAGTGGAAATCCGCCTTTAGTATTACTGAAAAGACGCCGTCCCTCCGGCTAAAACATTAGTACACTGTATGCATTATGCACACTGTATGCAACTAATGTTGATATATGTCCTAAAGCAATCATAATAGCTAGTATTTAAGAATTAAAAAACGAGTCGCGTGCCTTTATGGTGTAATAATGCACGATGGGGGAATGTTGGGAGAATACGAGAGAAGCTTGTAAAACACGAGGCGTAGCCGAGTGTTTTACAAGCTTCTCGAGTATTCTTCCAACATTTCCCCGAGTGCATTATTACACCATAAAGGCACGCGACGAGCTTTTTTAATTCTTTTATAATATAAGAAGAAATTATAGGGCAACAACAAAATTTATTTATCAATAATGAAATTCTCCTTACATGCTATTTAAGATGTTGCTTAGCAACAAAAACTTCAAAAGCCAGAAGCGTGCATTATGGCCTCACAATGCACGCGCGGTAGCCAATCAAATTGCTCGTTATATCATACTTATATTATAAACAGTAATAATTATCATGCAGGGTTTTTCCGCTTAAAACTGTATAGAACTAGTAGAAGTGTAGAACGTATTATATAATACCCCGTAAATTGGTTGAATTGAACGTAAATTGGTTGATGACGATCACGTGATATTGAATAGAAAGTCCCATTTCCCCAGAGTGCAATGGAAAGCGTTCCATTGCACTCTCCAGAATGCAATTGTACTATACATTTTGTTCCATTGCACCCTTAATGCTTTCAGTAAATACCATCCATCAAAATGCTTCTCGCACATATGGTTGTTGATCCATACAGTATGTTTTTTAATAAATTATATTTTTGAAACGAGACAGTCTATTTTGGTATTATATAAAACAAATAATGAATGTTTTCATTCGTGCAATGGTAAAAATATCTTCACTTGGTGAAAGATGGAATGTTTCATTCAACTCGGCTATCGCCACGCCATTGCACACATAAACATTCATTATTTGTATACTATAGAAGTCAAGCTTGATTTAGAATAAAAGTTAAGGTTATTCCGTACGAGATAAAAAGTGTTCAAAAAAACGCACTGGTGAGCGTGAACTTTGCGAGGAAGAGTCATTTTAGACAAAAGAACGATGTTTTAGCTTTTCGAATATTGC